GATTGAGTATAAATTTGGCAGATATGTAGCGAGCATAGTGACATTTATAAATGCCAGGCTTGGGTAATATATCTTGATAAAAAAAGTTGTTCATACATTTGGACTGATTGTTCCTAGCAGCTATATGATATAGTGGTCCGATCCAGCCGGTGTCGACATAAGAACTGAATGCAACAGAAAGACGGACCTATGCAAAGTTTCAAGACGTTAGCTTTAAAACTGAGAGACTAGTTCGCATAGAAACAGGCAGACGGACAGACAGGCGGACGGACGGACAGACGGACATGGCTTTACTAACTTGGCTGTTGATGCTGATCTAGAATATATATACTTTATGTGGTCGAAAATATCTCTACTCCTTACACATTTCATGACAAAATTATAATACCCTCTACAGGGGTATAAAAAGATATAATGTCAAGTTTAAACTATCTACCTAAATGTCTCATGTGGTTTCTACCAATATAGTTGAGTTTGTAAGTTTATAATACATTAAATCTATCTAATAATTATTTGTATCTATATACGGTCTCTGAAAACTGATTTCTAAAAAGGAAAAGAGGATAACTAAAATGCTGCCTTTTTTCTTAAATATCTGCTGCTTCCTTCCCTCTTCCTTCCTTCTTCCTTCCTTCTTCCTTGCTACCCACCTCTTAGGGTATATTTAATTTCCTTTAATTAATGGAAACTTTAACTTCATTATTAATTAAAGTTTGAACTTATAGATCCTGCTTCGCATGCGTTTGTTATAGACTTTTTTATTTTATTTAATCTTTTTTTATAATTTAATCCCATTTTGACAGCAGTTGTTTTACAAAAATCTAAAATTTTATTTTAGATAATTAAATCAAAATTGAAAACCATTTTGATTTAGACTTTTTAATTAAAAATTGAATAATTCATTTAAAAGGCAAATTAAATTTGGTTTAAGTACCATTTTTATTGGAATTTCGCTTGTGTTTAATTTTATGGCCAAAATTGAATTGGAAAAGTCGTGCAATAAACATTTTTTCGCCACGCTTTTCACCTTTCACTTTTATAGTGCGTGGCGTTGCACTATAAATTCTCAGTGCTTAAGTTTTATTTATTTTCCTGCTTGTCGAATTCGATTTGCGATAACATTGAACACGAAGATTGACCGTCTTAGAACCGCCCCCCCCCCCCTATCCCCCTCACAGTTTTCCGGCCCGGAACAACATCATTTCACTTGGCACTTGTAAGGACCGCAACTTTTTAAGTGCTAGCTGCTGCTGCTGCTTGTTGTTGCAACTGCAACGCCCCGTTTTGCGGAGGAGGGGGACGCTGAGACGGGCTCACGCATTTTTATGACCATGGCAAATACTTTTGCGAATTCAGCTGAATTTCCCAGTCGAGCAGAGTCCCCCCCCTCGCAGTTTCCCCTCGCCACGGCTGACATCTGAATGTTTTTTAGCATTTGGCATTTGAAAGTTTTCGTTCAGCTGGCTTTGGATTGGGTCTCTGGTAATTCGGATTTGTATTTTGGCGCCGTTGTGTGCAGTGCGTAAATTGAGTCATTTCTGCTGCTCCAGTTAAGTTTTGATTGAGCATTTAAAGGCTGACGCGATTGGGTTTCGCACGCTGTGCCGCAATTGAGGACGTGGCTGCCACAATGCGTATCCATGGCAATTTCCTCGATGTTGCCAGGGCGTTGGCCAAACGTCTTCACTTGCCGCTTGTAAGCGGCTTATGCTTGTGACGATAAAGTAAGCGGGAGGGATGCGCTGAAGAAGCTCAACAATTTCAACATCCTGCTTCCGTTGCAATGTAATGGAAACCGCGCTGTGTGAGAACGTGCCACGCTGTGCGGCAGCATTACAGTTGGCAAATGGCAGCACGACGCAATCGCACGACGAACTGCAGGCAAAAGTGTCGCAAACGGAAATCTAAGCAGAAATGAAAGTGACACACACTCGGCCAGGGAGTGCTCAGAGTGGTGCTCGGAGCTGGTTCGAATGCTAGCAGCTATATCACAGCAGGATATCGACTGCTGCCTTGGCTGGCAACGCGCTCTTAGAATTCAGGTGGAAAAATGCCAGGGCATAAATCAAATCAAACGACAACGTTGCCATAGGCATCCAGCATCAGCCTTCATTAGTGTTAAACGGCTAACAGAATGTGGTTGCACGGTGGTCCCAAAAACAGGCGCCGGCTTCAACCACTCGCATGCTACATAATTGCCGAGCCGCGCGCCGTGCCGCATATCATTGTGGCATTTGATTAATTGCCCGCTGCGGCAAATGTGGCAATTATTTTAATTTTTATATACATATATTTTTTCTCGCTCGTGCACAATTTAAGATAAGCCAAAAAATGCGGCCGCATTTAACATTTATGAGCCATAATTCTGGCACGCCCCCGCCTCCAGAGCCTGTCCAGTGCATGTCCCTCAGATATCGCTCTTGGCACGCATATATATCAAATACCATATATTATGGAGTGCTACGCATTTTCATAAAAGCCTCATAAAAGGCGCTGATTATTGCATTAGTTTCGGCGCCGACTGATTAATGCGAGCTGCCGTTGAGAGGCCGACAAGTGAAACGGTGCGTATGCTTAATATCTGGCTCGTTTAATTCTGCCGCCATCGTAATTTGCAACTCAAACTTGAATCACAAATCTCTGGCCAAGTTTTCTGACTTGGCAATCAAATTGCCAAACCGACAAACACCCTGCACGCACCCGCGCAACCACGCCCATAATCTAACGCGCGCCTGCAGCTGCAGCTGCAAATGCAACCGAAAACTTCTTAAACAGCGAAAAAATATATACTCATCTAGTGCCAGACTACAGAAATACCCTGTAAAGATTACAAGCTATCAATAGACGTCGTAGACCAACTGCCAAACATTTTAAATACTTACGAAAATCTTTTAAACTCGCAAAAAATTTGTATAAAACAAAGAAAACAATATATTATAATATATCCTAAGAAAATTTAGCAGATCCTCAAACAATTTAGTCAATCATCATATTATAATTTTCACAGTTTTGAGCTTTAGTTGGATTTTTTCTAGTTCTTAGTCCAAATATGGTTTGAAAACTTGATAAAAACATTATAAAAGTTAGAAAAAGTAGATGCTAGATTTGAAAATGTGCGATTCTCATCCGCAAGGACTCAATCAAAGCCAGCCTCAAGCATTCCACGGGTGTATCAAACTCTATATGGACAACATTTTCGCTGCTTATCGGGAATTTGCATGTTTTATAGAAACGGAAAACTAGCTGGCTGTCTTAACCACGCGCCGTCTTCTCACTTTTGCTTAACTTTTCTGAAAACCCTCTATCTAGCAAGTTTTTTGCTCTCTTACTTGTTGTTTTTGTTGCCAGTGGGGGGTACAGGGTATTGAAAAAGTTTGAAGCGTTTCGTTTTTATTTCTTGGCTAGCAAAAGTTGGGCGCGGGCGTGTGTCTGTCAATTGGACAACTGGGCGAGTCGGCAAGTCAAATAGAAAGTTTCTCGTCAACATTACGCAAATTAGTTTGCCAGCCGAGCATCAAATGCAGGCGTAGCCCTAATGACATTTATACCACAGCCAAGTTTTGCTTGGCCACTATGAAACGACTTTGGAGTTCCCGATAAGCTGAGCGATGAGTGAGCTCTTTGATAGCCACGTGGGAAGCAGGGCTCATCAAGGCAAAACAGCTGAATTTGAGCCGGCGACTTGCCGCTTGCTGGTCCAACGCTTAAGCAACTTGGAGTTTGCGATAAGCTGAGCGATGAGTGAGCTCTTTGATAAGTACTTGGGAAGCAGGGCTGATCAAGGAAAGTCAGCTGAATTTGAGCCGGCGACTTGCCGCTTGCTGGTCCGACGCTCAAGTAACTTGGAGTTTGCGATAAGCTAAGCGATGAGTGAGCTCTTTGATAACTACTTGGGAAGCAGGGCTGATCAAGGAAAGTCAGCTGAATTTGAGCCGGCGACTTGCCGCTTGCTGGTCCGACGCTCAAACAACTTGATGTGACGTTCACAAAGCACACTTATATAGTTTTTTTAGCTTTGTTTTTCGCCCATTTAGGGCTCGTATCTTCCAAAGAGCTCACTCTCGAACCAAAATGAAGCTTCAGTAAAAGTATCAGCTTGGGCTGTGATTTGGTCAACTTTAAGTCGGGACAAACTATTTTGTTGTATATATAGATTATATATATAGATTTTAGACAATTTCTTGGCTGAATTTAGGCATGTGGTTAACCAGCTTCAAGGCCAAGGGCTGAGAGTTGAGTCGAACCTTGAATACATAGTATATATATATTTCTTTTTCCTTTTCTTTGCAGCCCCGATAGACTTAATACTAAATCGAACCTAACTAGTTAGAGTTGGGGTATTTTATATTTTTACTTACCCGAGTCCAGTTTGTGGCCGCATTTCCAGCGCCTTTTTAGTCTGTTCGCATTGATATGCATTAATGCCTGGGTACACCTGAAAAATCATAAAATCAAATATGCATTGAATTACATTGTCTACCCGGGGACAATTATATTATCCCTTTTTTTTATGTTGTTGCTGTAGAAACTTAACTCAATTTGCTGCCCATAAATTTGCTACCACAAGCTCCAAGGCCCCACCCCCTCCCCTCCTCTCCTCCTGCAGCTCTTCACACTCTTAGAAACCAAAGCGGGCGCATTTTTCAGTCGACATTTTGTTGCTGTTTGTTGTGCAATTTTACTTGGGCTCTCGTTTATGCGCAAAAGTGCGTGTAATTCAATTTTTCATGCGCCGCCACGCGGCCAGGACTTACCCTTGTGTGTCCTGGGGTTGGAGGTTGGTGGGTGGGCAGGGGGAGGGGGAGGGGTGGCATTAAGACAAAGGACTCGTACAGAGCAAATATGCGTCAAAGGCATATTTTGGCACGCAATTTCGATGGCATGTCCTTATTGATGAGCGATCCCTTTTTCAGTTATACGTTAACCGTTAACGGTTATCAATATTTGATGGCGGGCCAAGCTTTTAAAACTTTTCCCACTTTTCGTTATTTAACATGAAATTCGTTAAGCGCCTTTTATTTATTATAGATGTGCACAATAATACACAAGAGACGCAGACAAAAATAACGCGCCACGTGCCCCAAATTGCATTTGTAGATGTGCGCGCGTGTTTGTGTGAGAGAGAGGGAGAGGGGGGGGAGTGAAGAATCTCGTCTAGTTGAAGGCTTAACGCTCGAGATCGCGATTGGTGGTACGTCGCCGCTTGGGCGCCACACTGCTGCTCCGCGGCCTTGGCGCCGACCTGAGGGCAGCTCGGAGACCCGGATTGACGCCCGTGTTCTGTGCCACACGCGTTGCATTGGCAACGGCAGCAGCTGCCGCAGCCGCCGCAGCAGCATTGCCGGCATCTGTGCTCCGGTTGCCAACGGCGCCGACTGTGGCCAAGTTTCGCGCGTATCTGGCACTGGCACTGGACACCATTTGCTGGGAGCGCTGTGGCATAAAGTAATCGGAGCCCAGACGATCCAGCATGCTGCGCTCGATGGCCACCTCGAGACCGATGTCCTGGGCCAGCACGCCGTTGGGCATCAGGTTGGACGTTGTGGCTGCTGCTGCTGCTGCCGTCGTCGACGACGACGACGCGGACGACGAGGAGGATGCCTGCACGGGCAGTTCGCTCACAGCCTGACTCTGTGTCTGGCTTGTTGGACGCTGCGGCTGCGGAGCAAGTGTTGTGGCGGCGGACGAGCTGTTGCGCTCGGCGAGCAGGCGTCGCAGTTCGAGGAGTAACGGTGCATTCAGATCGGTAAGATCCGCCAGCTCGTCAATCTCATCGGGGTCCTCATCCTCCACATCCAGATCGGCCGTGAAGCTCACGCACTCATCTTCATCCACGCACATCGAGAAGTCCACAAAGTTCAGCATAATGGGCAGCACGGCGCCAGCATCGCCCGACGCCTCGCTACCATCCAAGGGGCGTGCGCTATACTGGACATTGCACTCGTAGCTGATCAGATCGTCGTAGGGCGAGCGGGCAAAGTTGATCAGCTCGTGCACAAAGTGATTCGTCTTGGGTCCCAGATAGCCGGCCAGCGTGGCATTGAACTCCAAGCTCTTCATATTGATCTCCAGGATCAGCTCCAGCAGCACATCAAAAACGGTCAGCAGCTCCGTTTGGGTGTTGCACAGCAGCACGGACAGCTCCCGATTCGCAAAGCTCAGCAGCCGGTGCACCTCATCCGAATTGCGTCTGCGGAATAGTTAACAGTTATATCCATCTATTTAGAGATATGTATATATGGCGGTCTACACCTGTACATCAGCGGCGTGCAGTCCCGAAAGCTGCGCGATTCGCGTTCCGGCAGCGAGTACAAGTTGTTGGAATAAACGTAGACGCGCCAATAGACCATATAGCGGGATCCCATTATGGAAATCGTCGGGAATTCTCACAGAAATTCGAAAGTTGCCTGTGAAACAAATGAAAGCAAGCAAAATATAATCACAACAAATGACAACTAATGCATTCTCAAGTTTCAATGCTAGTGTTTCATTCCGTTTCGTTCCAAGCGAGCGCAACATAAACACTTGTCTCCATGTGTGTGTGTGCGAGATTGTGTGTGTGTGTGTGGGTAAAGCGAAAAGTTCGCTCTGTTTTTGCAAAAATTAACGTTTCCTCTTCTTACATTGAATGCAAATGCAATGTCTTAATATTATATTTTGTTTACCCGCTCATAAAAGACTCACCAAATGTCAAACAGCTTTGTTTTTCTAAGCCGGCGCATCCAGGTTTACGCCTTCGAGAGACATGTCAATCGCTTTGGAGGGCCTCTAGGTACGTCCGAATTTAAATAGGAGGCGCTTGCACGACGTCATATCGATAACGATAACATTTGCAAATATCGAAATATCGAAGCTTTTGAAATAATCTTAATTAGAATAAAAAGCTCAAATCAAATACGTTTACTGTACCTTGAACTCTTTCAAATAAGTAAATAAAATAGTTGGGACCTATTTCATATTTTTATAGGAGCCGGACAACCCGATCTTAATGTGATCGCTAGCACTTAGAGCTCTTTTCCCAAGAACTCTCATCTGATCTCTTTAGATGACATTCTAAACATTTAAATAATTAGTTGATAGCTTAAGGTAACTCTTTCTAGCTGTCATAGGAATAATTGGCCAGATTTTGATTAAGCACAGATTGCAGATATATCGTACAGTTGTCAGTGCAGAAATTTAATAAGTACGTCTATAAAGGAAGCTCGAAGATAACTGCCAGAACTCTCGATTTTTGGGCATTCAGAGATTTGCTTATATAGTAATACGATGAGTCGAGTTAAATGTTTACTTGATAAAGAAAGTTTGTGTTAAAGCCAAAACAATTTGCTGACAAAGGCAGCCGAAAATACTTGAAATACAAAATAAATATCTTATATGCTTGGGTATCAGAGAATCAGATCCACAGTAGTATTATTTTTTTATTAACTACGTGCACATTTTATACACAAAATAAAATTCATGATATCCATTGGCAATAAATAGCTGAGAAATTGGTACAGAATAATGACATACTTTATGCACATACATATATATGAATATATATATATATATATATAAATATATATATTTATAGACTGCTGGATCAAAAGAGCCTTTATCTCACTTAATGTTTTTACATTTATTGCATTTAATTAACCAGCTACGTTTAGGCAAAAAAAATTAAATAAAACCTTTGGATATGCTTCAGCATTTAGCATATACACATATGAAGTTTGCTTTAACGTGGTTTTTTATGCAGTTATATAGTTTATAAACTAGGGCTTAAATCGAATACGATACACATATATATATACATACATATATATAGTTATATATATATGTATGTGTATTTATATGTATATGTTTATTATATAATAACTTAACTAAGTACAAACATTTACAAATGAATTTCAATTTGGAGATGATATTGCGCATGCGAGCAGATCAGCTTTTGTTGTTATTTCTACTTAGGGTGGGTTCGGGTGGGGAAGGAGGGGGGGGGGGGGGAGCCTAGCAGGGGTTCAATTCGATAAATGAATTTATATATTATACAATCAATGTGTATACTATTATAGAGTTATTATAGAGTTCTATTATATGTGTATATACAACTTAAGAGCTTAAGATTAACCGCAGGTCCGAAAATACCATCCGCATTGGACCTGACGGTTGCGCTTAGCATAGCAATTTGAGTGGTTAACATTAAAGACTAAATTTAAATGTGGTATTTGCTTCTTTTTTTTGTTTTTTTTTGTTATAGTATAGTATAGTCAACAAGTTTATGGGGCCACTCATAATGGAAGGGGTGAGGTGAGCGTTTGGCCAATGGGGTTTAAAACGACGTGACACGAGTTGTAAAAAACAGCTAATAAAAAACTATTAAAAACAAAAAAATATAAACAGTTCGTGCTTAAGCAAGCGGCAAGGCGTCTTAGTAGGCATCCATTGCATCCTGATCCGAGTCGCTGGCCTCAGTGTCAGGTGCTGGTGAGTCTTCGGCATCATCGGTCGCTTCATTGTCATCATTTTCCTCCTCCTCATCCTCGTCTTCGTTTTCGTCCTCGTCCTCCTCCTCGTCGTGCTCGACTGCCTCATCTGCCTCTTCCTCCTCCTGCTCCTGCCCATCATGCACATTATCCTCAATGGCATCGACATATTCGCCTTGGATGCTGCTATTTGCATCTCTGACCACATCAATTACATAGTCATCATTGCTGGCATCGGAGTAGATGCCCAGCTGTGCATCCTCATCATCATCGGCTTGGTGCGCGCTCCCGCTGGGCAACACATTGTGCAGGTGGTAGCTTATCGCATCCTCCACATCCTGCGACTGCTCATTGAACAACCCGCTGCCAGCACCGCCCACACTCACAGTGGAGAGCTCAATCAGCGAATTAGCTATATCATGCATGACGGACAGCGGCTGTGTCAGCGGCACATGGCCATCCGTATTGGTAAGCGCTAGGCTCAGGGCTGAGCAGCTGGACATAGTGTTGCCGTGGCTGGCCAAGGTGCTAGTCACGCTGTTGCTGTGGCTGCGGCTGGACAGATTGCTGTTGCTGTTGTGACTGTAGCTGTGACGGCGCTTTCTATCGCTGCTCTTCAGCTGCCCTGGAAGCTGCTGTGACTCGTCTGAATCCGCTCTCAGTTCACGCTTGGGCGGCTTTACCTCCGCCTTGAGCGTGGCACGCAATTGGCTCAACAATAAGTTTTCCGTGCTGTCCTCGTCGCTGCTGTTGTTGTTGCTGCTGCTGCTCATCTTAATGTGGCTGCGCTTCTTTTTGATTTTATTGCCTGCTAAAGAAATGGTTTTGGATTAGATTTATATCTACATATTATATATTTGATTTATCACTCACCAGCAGCAGTCTCGCTGTTATTCCCACTGCTCTCATCACTGCTGCTGCTGCTGCTCTTGGCGCTGCTCTCCAGGCGCAAATCCTGCGGCTGCTCGATCACCTGCTTCTTGCGGCGTTTGCTCTTCAACCTGAGTGTCGGCTTGTTTTTGGCAGTACGCTTGCGAGCTTTGGTTTTGCGTACCGCGCGCCTCTTGCGGAGCGTTACCTTTACGTGGGAGTCATCACTGCTGCTGCTACTACTGCTACTGCTACTGCTGCTGCTGTTGGTCCAGTTGGTGCCACTGCTGCTGCTGCTGCTGCTTCTGACAGCCGGTGGCAGGCTGCGGTGTTGAGCGCGTGTCATGTGTCGTTTGGACAGACCGATGCGTGGATCCTGACGACGCGCCTCCTCCAGCACTGTCTTCCAGTGCTTGCCCGAGGTGGAGCACACCCCTGTGCTGGTGCTGGGGCCCATAAAGAGCTCACTGGATAAACCGCCAGCGGCAACAGCAGCAGCCATAGCGGCAGCATCAGCGGCAGCTTGTTCCACGCTGTCGCCGGCTGTCGGTTTGGGCGGCGTGCTGGGCTTCTGCTCATCGACAAAGACCACATCAGAGTCGCTATTCGAGTCCAGGCTGACCAGCTCCGGTGTACGCAAATGCGGCGGTTTGCGCTCCAGCACAAAAACGCATTCGTCATCATCGCTGCTGTTGCTACAGTCGCTGCTCTGGAGCTCAATGTGGGCGCTTATGGGCAGACTGGCGCCCGCTTGGCGGCGACCGGTCTGGCTGCTGCCATCATTAATGGCAGCCACTTCGGCATTGGCAGCGGCATCACCGTCATCAATTTCGATTACCTCGTTGGCGGGGCGACGCATACTCAGGTTGATGGCCACCGTTTGGGAACCCACATTTGAAGTGGTGGTGCGGCGTATGGAGATGCCCGGCAGTTCGCTGCCATCGGTGGCCATGGTGACGCTGAAGGAATGTGTTGCACTGGGATTGGTCACAATCACGCTAGTTGATGGCCGTGGCAAGCGGCTCCAATCACTGGACGACTCCGCCGCACTGCCATTTGGCTCGCTGCCATTGCCGCTGCCACTGGCATCCGCTGGAACCGAGACGCTACCCTCGTTGGTGGACACCAAGTCAAGCAGATCCACCTCCACCTCTTCGGCAACACGCGCCGAGTATTGCACGACACGATCATAGCCAATCATATCGTAGGGCGAGCGGGCAAAGTTGAACAGCTCGTGTATGAAGTGATTGGTGCGCTCGCCCAGAAACGGCGAAAGGCGGCGCCGGAATGTGCGGGTCGGTATATTGATCATGGGCAGAATATCGTGCATCAGCTGCATTACCTCGCTCACATTCTGCGGCGAATTCCGCAGCAGACACACTATATCCCGATTGATCCACGGCATTAGGCGATGCATTTGTGCGGGATTATCTCTGAAAAAGATGAGCAAGTCATGGATTTAAGTGGCTTCTATGTGTGTGTTAGATTCGCTCACTCACCTGTAGAAGCGTGCGCTCCACTCGCGAAAATGTCCGGTGAGGCTATCGCTGACCGGCAATGCGTACAGCTTGCGGTCGTAGACATAGCGACGCCAGAGCTGACTCAGCGAGCCGGAACCACCGGCATCCTGATCGTGGCGATAGAAATTCAATAGCTCCATGCGATACGGCTCGAAGCGATTGAAGGGCGCATGCATGCGCGAAGGCTGCGCCAAGCCATCCTGTGACTCATCGGTGGCAGCTGCGTCGATGTCGTTGGTCATGACGCCCTGATGCTGGGGCAAGAAGCGTTGGCGTCGTATGTTCACAATATGAAAGCTGAGCGACGGGTGCTCCGGCGAGCTGGACTGCACCGGATACCGATCATAGTCGTCCAGGGTGCGCACATTGTGTATGATGGTTTTGAAGGGCTGCTTGCACAGTGGACATTCCGGCTTAATCTGCAGAATAAGGATTGATTAACTATGCTAGATGAATGAGAAGCTATCGTTGTTTTAACTCACCTTGCTCCACTCGCACAGACACTTGAAGCAGAACTGATGCATGCACGAGTCGGTGAAGCATTTGCGCCTGCAGCGGGACAGACAAATGGCACAATTCGGTGGCGGCGAGGAGCGTGCAGCGGGCGTGTTGTGTCCGGTAACGGGGGAGCCATTCTCCTGCTGTCTATGTTGCTGGTGCTGCTGCTGCTGCTGCTGGTCGATGCTGACCTCGTCCTCGCCGCTCTCACTGCCGCTCTCTGTGAGATCTGCAAACTGTATGGCAGCAGCTGGCAGTGTGCCGGCAGCAACGGCGCCGCCAGCTTCGACTGGATCAACAATAACAGAGGCGGCGACATCCTCTATATAGGGATGCGGCTCCTCCATCAGCAGCGAATCGGCCATTCTTGTGTGTGACAATTTGGTGCTTGTTTATTAATTATATATGCAAGTTCTCCTGGAACTGGAAATGGACTGAGGCCTCAGTTTCGCGACTCGCTTCGGGTTTTGATGTCTCTACTCGCGTCGCCCCGTCTCACTCACACGCTCTCTCGTTTAGTTATCATCTGGTTTTGTTCGCAGTTGACTTACCAAAGACTGAACATGCGTCTTTTTTTGCATGGTTTTTATTATATCAATTCGCGTATTATCGATGTGCTGCAGTAGCGTGGTTGATGGCCAGTTTTATGGGCTGCAAAATGCCGCTTGCAGTATGTTTATATTTGACAATTCTATTAATTTTTTTACAATTGAAGTCGTCAGAAAATAATTTGCTGTATTCACTTAATAATGATTTCGTATGATTATGGGTAGCACTGCCAAGCGGCTGGGCAGCATTGTCGACTATCGATAATTCCAGTAGCTTCAGCACAAAAAACCGTAAAATTATAACATTTCCATATTTATTGTACAAGTGTACGAAATTATGATTAATTTATGAAAGATCACACACATATCTATGGAATTCAATTGATTTTCCCAACAAGCAACTAGCGCTGCTAGCATATACACATAAACAATGTGTTTTTATTAATAGTGACCAGCGTATTGTGCTCAACGTAAGCGCACAGCAAGAGCAACATTGCGCGACTATACAGCAACGGTTATCGATAGTCTGCAAAAGGCAGCCTGTCCACCGCTTACGAAAATGTACTAAAAAATACATAGCGCGTAAAAATTGTTTGCATTTGGTGGCGTCGATTTTAATTTTTCGTATTTCCAGTGCACTTTTCGGTGGGTAAAACAATTTTTATTGACAATTTGTGCAATCGCTAGTTGCCAAAAATGGACCGACGCAAAAAGCGCACATCTTCGGAGCAGTATCAAATGTACATCGAGCTCATGGAGAGCGACCCAATTTTTGCCAGTGGACGCGTGCCGCGCGATTATGATCTAAACTATTTGACCAGAAAATGGAAAGAGTTATCCGACAGGCTCAACAAATGCGGCTCCGGGCCCACGCTAACAGCGGAGGAGTGGCGCAAGGTGAGTTTTTCCAGCATTCACAGAGAAACCCTGTGGGGCTGTGTTTGTGTGTACGTTGAAGGGTGTGGGGTGGTGAGGGAGGTTATGCGATTATTGGCGGCAAATGACGCGCACATTTGTTGCAGCGCCTAAACGACTGGAAGAACACGACGCGTTGCAAGTACAGACGCAGCCTGATGTCCAGCGAGAAGGATATATCCATGTCGTCACTGGAGACGCGAGCCCTCAATTTGTTTGGCAAGGTTCCGGGCTCCGGGGAGACGCTAATGAACTTGAAATCGGAAAAGGATGATCAGGAGGACGACATGGAGGAATTGGGTCAACGCACATCCGCATCGTTCCAAAAAGATCTGCAAGCGGCCGTTGAAGAGGCCATCAATGATGAGGACGAGGACGAGATGGTCGAGGAACATGTGGATCAGGAGGATCTCACCGATGAGAACATGCACGAGGCAAGCGGCGGCATCGATGGCCCCAATGTGGGTGGCACAACGGCAGTGAACACAGGTGGCGGCGGCTATCGCACCATTGTGGTGGACAACTCGACATATGTGGAAGAGGAACAGGACCACCCCGAGCCGCCAGTAGAGCCCGTCAAGTTTGTGTGCACGACCAATATACACTCGGCCGGCTCCAGCGGCGGCACCAAGCTGATCAACGGCGAGCTGCCAGTCAAGCGATTACGACGAGATCAGGTCATCTACGAGGGTGAGTATTCGCGCTTGCCAGGAGCTGCTGCTCTTGCTAATTTCTGCTTCATTCTGCACTTACAGTTAAGAATGCGCCGCGCTCCTATACGACCATACAGGCGGGCGGCTCACTGCCGACGCTGCACAACACAAAGATGCACCACGAACCACAAGGCACGACGCTGAGCGCCGCATTGAGCGGCCTGGATGCGCAGGAGATAGCGCATCAGTTGAAGCGATTGGCGGACATTAACTACGAGACGCTGCAGTTTGAGATCGCGCGCTTCAAGTTCAACAATCCTGGCTTCCACTACGAGCCGCCGCCATTATAGTCATCGCCCCAGGCAGAAACGCAAAGGAGCAGCCGCCCACAACAACAACAGCAGCAACAGCCACGAGAGCGGGAGCAGCAGCATCAGCAGCGGCAGCGGGAGCAACAGCTGCCACAAGAGCGGGCAGTCGAGCCGAAGAAGAAGTAATAGTTATAGTTTTTATTGACACACAAACACACACACACACATGTATGCTCTGTCAGTCAGTCAGAATTTGTACATTTACGCGAGCTGCAGACAGACGACAATTGAGCACTTCTGGATGGGGCATGATCGATGCCAGCCTATCATAACCTAAAGTAGCCAGTTTTTTAGTTTAAAATTTACGTAGTTCATATATTAATGCAAATCATTTTCTATATACAGTTTCAATTACGAGTACCATATACACACAAACACGCGCATATATATTTGTATTGTAATGCTTAAAGGTACATAATATGTGGACATAATCGAATCCTCGCCTGGGATTCGCTTTGTTCGCTTTGCTACCTTTACTCTCAAGTGGAATCCATGTCGAATTGGACACATAATTTTAAACAAGTTGTATGTAAATGTAAAGAATAAAGTTTACCAATGATAAATACGCACCCACGTCTCCTCTCTGGCGCCAATTGGCCGTCGTCGTCGTCGTCGCCGTTTGCTCCACCTTTCGCTTGTTGTATTATTTTTGTTTGCCATTTGCAGCGCGCATTCCTGTTTATTTATGAGCGCCATGGACTTTTTTACTATGCCCAACACTGGAAAATCCATTAATCATCGACGGCGGCGACGTTGGCAGTGCATTTGGTGTTGGTGTTGGGTCACCTCGCCTGACCGCCAACTGGTGGGCGCACTTTATAACTGTTGAGCCCTTGGGGGGGGATGGGTCGAGCAGCTCATCCGGACCAGCCCCACATGCGATGCGATGCGATGGGATGCGAAAATCATTTTAACTGTTATGTGGCTGATGCAACAAGTGCCGATGACGCGGCCGATAGCTGCGCGGCACAAAACGAGCCTGGCACGCCGCCGCTTAAGAAAATGACTTGGATGGCGACTGCGCCAATAGATCATTTGGACGCCGTGCGCTGCGAATCATAAATTACAATTGCCGCCAGTCCCAGTGCCAATGCCAGTCTCAGTCTCAGTCTCGGTCTAAGCCCGTCTTAAAGCCTCGCAGTCAACGTCAACGCATGCCAAACCGTTAGTTGACCATTTGGTTGCATGGGGCTTGGACTTGGGACTGCAGTTCCGACTGCGGCAGTGCCTCGACGTTAACTGCTAACTGCACAACACGTCGTATGCTTAATCTGTTTTGGTTTTGTTTTCGGTATTGTGGCCCACTGCGCGTTGTGGGTGCCGCTTGCGCTTTGATGAAAGGCCTCCAAGCAAAGCTGATTAACGGGCGCACACATACGCACACACTCACACACACAGACACATACACACACGCTGATAGATGATTGGAGATGGCAGTGTCTGGTGCAGCCAGATGTCTTCTTTTCACATGGCCCCGGCTGGGCCGTGGCAGGTCCATTAAATAGTTCGTGTTGCACTCGTTCCGCCGTTCCATCGACTGCGATTGGGTCTCTGGGACCGGCCTGTTGCATGGATCAGGGCACACACATGACAGCGTGCAAAATCTGACCCTCAGGCGGGTGTTATAACAACAACAAAAAGTTAAAGAACTCTGGCAAGAAATAAAGAAGAATAGTTTCTACAATATGTGAAGCACTCAAAATAAGCTATCGATGCGCTACTTGAAGTTGTTCAGGGCATATGGGTGCGAGTATTGTTGAGAAGCAATTTAAGAAAAGTTATAAGAAAAATTATATTTATCTTCAACTTTATTATTTAAATAGCTTATCTTCAAGGTATAGTAGTTTTTTTCTTCAGTCTACCAACCGGTTCGAGCCACTGTGTTAACAGTTTGTGTACAGACGGTAGGGTAACCGACAGTCGATTAGAAAGCACCGTCATTAATTGACGACCAAACGAAACAGTGACAAAATGCAAGCAAAAGTAACTGTACTGTTAAAAAGCAACCACAAAAGGGAAGAACTCAAAACAAAGAAGCACAAAGTTAAGGATTCCGTTTACCTGCGTAAATGCAATTGTCTTTCATTTGGCGTAATGGATGTGTTTATTATAAATTTAATTATAAATAATTTATTTTAGTTCTTTATTTCTCCTAGAATTTAACTGCATATAAATTATTCAAAAAATATTATTTCAACACTTAATAGCATTAAAAAAATAACATCATTCTAATGTTATGCTGTCAAGAAAGTGTTTTATGTGTTTTTATTGTATGTGCATGTTGACGACAAAAACTGCCAAAACGGCGAATTTGCTAAAGCTAAACAAAAGTCAATCAATTCGATATCCCGAAAGGGTCTTAGTACCTAAATGTATATAAATTATACATGATAATGATACACTAAATATATTTTAATAAAACAATATGTTCGGAATCCTAAAATATTTAGCTGAGAACACTACAGTTGCCAATATTTTGTCCGGGACTGTAGTTGTTTCAATCGAATATCACTGTGTGCAGCATGTACTTATGTATGTAACCGTACTCTGTTCATTGAGCGAAAAATATAACTCGAAGGAAGAATTCAAAACAAAAACGAAACGACAAAGATCCCGTTGTTCTGTTCTCATTGCGGCTGTACCTGCGTAGTTAAATTGTGCGAACTGAGCTGAACAGAACGGGACGTATTGTGCATGCCTGTTAATATTTAACTTCGCTAATATTGGATTAATTACATTTGGAATCAGCTTACAAGGTTAGTTTTTATTAATTTGGCAAAAATAAATATAACTTGGCATTAGAAAAGAGCTACGAGAAAAGTTTGAAGGCCAATGAAAGGCATCTCGACAATTAGAGTGCTCAGCTAAGGGACAGTGCGGCTCGCATTCTCGCAGACAGCTTGTAGGGCTTGAATGTGTAGATATGTATATATGTATGTACATATGTATGTATGTATGTATGTATCACTATCGCTGTGAGATGGCACTATATATTGCAGTTGTCAGCAAGAAGCATCGCTGGCGGCCCAATTGAAATCTCCACATGCATGTATACATATACATATACATAAACATATATATATATATATGTGTGTATGCATATAAGATATACATACATACATATGCTTAAATGAATGTTTTATTAAACGCGTTGAGACTTTGGCGATTCATCTTCATTCGCTGCCATTGCCATTGGCTATTGGCTAGTCAGAGCCAGATCCAGAGACAGACAGAGACAGAGCCACATATGCTGGGCAATACGTTGGCTCGAATCTCAGCGCTTG